ACTATGTGCAGGTACGATACAGATAAGTGCGACTATGTACAGGTACGTACAAGACACATTCCCTATCTACCCATCCCCCTATCCCCCCCCCTATCCACACCCCCCCCCCCCCCCCCCCCACTCCTACTACCCCCAACACCACATCCACCACCTCTGCCTCCTCCACCCTTCCCCCCCCCCCCCCCCCCTGCCCTCCCCCCCCCCCCCTCCCCCCCCCCCTCCACCCCTCCCCTATGGCTCACAGCGGGGCCAAGACAAGACCCTGGTTCTCGGACCTCCCCCCGAATCGAGCACAAAGGCCCTCCCTACGGCCCTGTCCAGCATACTACACCATGGACCTACCCCTTGGGCGGTGCGCAGGCAGTGTCTGTATGAGTACCATGCCTCGTCCCAAGGGGGGGGGTGCGAATGGCCAGGCGCTATGAAAGCGCGAAATGGCAGAAATGCGCAGGCCGTGAGTTTTGAACCCACGACCTTATACCACAGTGTGCATTTCCAGTCGCTGCCTTAACCACTTAGGCATCAGGCGGCCCAGTAGTTGTAGGTTAGATCTAGGCAGATACCAGTCCAACCAGTCTGGGTCTCGGGCCTGTACGGGCAATATCAGAGTCTGCAATGATGTTTCCCTCCAAAAGCGAGGAGGTACCGGTTGCTTGGAAGGCCGAGCGGCCTGGAAATCACCGCCCGTAGAGGCAAGCAAGTCGCTATATCTCCCAGCCGGGTGAAGAGCCCGGCCTCTTTCTCAGTGTGCAAGTTTGGCAACACACTGGTTGGAGCGCCGGTTGGAGCAACGCTATCCAGGTGCAGCACTGCTGGGGGAAGGAGAAGGACACGAAGGAGGAAGAAGGACAGGAAAGGGGAGGAGTGCCAAGGGTACTTACCTGGCTATGGTGGCAGGCATCTTCATCACCTTGGTGGGCGCTGCAGCAGGGAGTCCCCAACTGGGGAGAGCCACACCAAGAGAGCCAAGGTACCCCCAGAAAACATACCTTGCTTTTATGGGACCAAAGTGAGGGAGTTCCTAGAGGACTATGATGTCTTCGGAATGCGTCATGGTTGGTCGGATAAGCAGAAGCTGAAAGCTCTACTCGCCTATGTTGAGCCTAAGATAAGGGTGTCGGTGACAAAAATGACAGAAGGGCTGATAACATGGGCGGACGTTAGATAAAAGGTGTTGGAGGAGTATGCAAAGTATGACGTCCCAACAACCATGCAAAATTTGTTGGATGTACGACGTTCCAAGTACTCTACCCTCGACTAATTCCTAGAGGATTTGGAGAGAGTTGCATAAAGAGTACCCTTCCTAGACGAGGCACAAAAGTGTCACGTTCTGCTGACTAACTTCGTTGAGGATGAAAGGAAGAGTGTGGTAAGTCGTGTTGCCCATTATCCTCTGAAGTCGGAAGAAATGGTTGAGATGGTCTGCGAGTTACCTTCGGTGTCAAACCGAAAGTGGTCTCTTGAACAGATGAAAGCAATAACTAATGAGAGAGAGGGAAACATTGAGGCAGTTGCAGGAGGAAACCTGAAGGCTGAGAAGATTCTTGGTCTTCTTGTTGAGTTCGGTAGCTGTGAGAAGTTGACTCTTTCTACGAGGGAGTTCCTAAAGGACTATGATGTCTTTGGATCGGATAAGCAGAAGCTGAAAGGTCTGCTAGCCTATATTGAGCCTAAGATAAGGGTGTCGGTGACAAAAAACGACATAAGGGCTGATAACATGGGCAAACGTTTAATAAAAGATTTTGGAGGAGTATGCAAAGTATTACGTCCAAACAACCATGCAAAATTTGTTGGATGTACGACGTTCCAAGTACGCTACCCTCGACGAATTCCTCGAGGATTTTGTGAGGGTTGTGTAGAGAGTACCCTTCCTAGACGAGGCACAAAAGTGTCATGTTCGACTGACTAACTTCATTGAACATGAAAGGAAGAGTGTGGTAAACCGCGCTGCACATTATCCTCTGAAGTGGGAAGAAGTGGTTGATATGGTCCGTGAGTTACCTTCGGTGTCAAACTGAAAGTGGTCTCTGGAACATATGAAAGCAATAACTAATGTGAGAGAGGAAAACACTGAGGCAGTTGCGGGAGAAAACCTGAAGGCCGAGGAGATTTTTGGTCTTCTTGTTAAGTTTGGTAGCTTTGAGAAGTTGACTCTTCCTACGCCAGCAACATAAACCTTAGTTGGGTCCGAAGAGGAAAAAGAAGAAAGGAAGAAGGATAAGCAAAAGGAAATAAGTGAGAGTGAGAGTGAAAATAGTGATAATGATGACGCTAGGCAAAAGAGACAGGAGAGAAGAAAGAAATGAGATAGGAAGCGAGACCGGGATTGGAGAAAGGATAATAGGAAACGAGACTAGCAAAGGAGAGATGACCCCTTCCGATGTTATTGTTGTGATGAGGAAGGTCACACTCTAACCCGGTGCCCAACACTAGAAAAGGAGCTTGAAGAAGGGATTGTCAAGAAAAATGTCAATGGGCACATCTGTGATACAAATTGGAACAAGGTATATTTCCAAGTCAAAGGAGGGATGTGAGCAGTAATCCTAGAAAAGGCCAAGGCCAATAAGGATAAAAAGAAGAACGCTAGGGTTAATCCTTTCACCTTTCATGAGATTTTACCTCCGGAGATAGTGACCCAGGATAGCAGTTTTGGTAATCAAAGACTGAATGTATCTCATATCAGTCAGAAGGAGGTTGAAGAGAAAAAGCGGGAGAAGGCTCAAAGAGAGCTAGACCAACTGATTGATGGGACCAAGGACCTAGTGAAGGAAGGAAAAGGAAAGGAAGCTGCCGGGAAGAAGAGGAAGGTGGTCTTGAGATCCGAGGCCGAAGAAGGAGTCTCGATAGATGAAGTGGTGAAGAAATTATTTGAAGAAACCGAGATCACCTTATCCTGGAAAGAGGCAGTAGCCTTGGTGCCCAAGTTTAGGGAAGAACTGAAGAAGATGGTTAAGAGGCGGAAGGTAGAGATCAATAGTCTAAGACTCTTTCTTAAGCATGTAGAGAGAGCCCCACCAGAAACTAAGATGAGGTTTGACAACATGTCGTGTGGATACTTGAATATCTCTGAGATAGTGCTCATGTCCTCAACCACGATGAGATCCTGTGGGCTCGGAATAAATAAGAAAGTTAATCACCAACTCTCCAATATACCCGGATTCCTGCCTTTAGAAGGATTCATTGATGATATGCCTATTCGGATTAGAACCTTACGGACCGAGATTCTGGGATTCGTGGTTCCAAATCTGGATCATGACTGCATCATCGGAGCCCCTTTCCTACATAGGATAGAGGCTTGGCCATAATGGGGCAGCCTGACTCTCTCTCCAGGACCCTATCACTGGTCAAGAACATGCTTTTGTGATAAGTGATAGGCATTATCCTCGTCATCAGTGACATGGTAACTCTCTTGAGCATAGGGAGTCTGACAAGTTGATAGAGGAAGTACGAACAAAACTAAAAGAGAGTGGGATAACGGACGAGGAGATAACGGTTAAAGTAAATGATATGGGAAAGATGCTCAAACTCCTGGATAAAGCCAAGGAGGTTGACGATAAGAGAGAGATGGAAGGGTTCAAGGATACTGTGAGGGCAACAAAAGTTGGAACGATGCAACTCACCTTCTCTACAACTAAGTTTTTTTTAGAAAGATAGTCACAGGATCCAAGAGGAAATATAAGCACAAGGGCATTAAGAAGAATCCGGTGGCAGTCCTAATAGAGAAGGACTATAATGAAGCATTAGATAAGGAGAGAAAGATAATCAAGGGATTGAGGGAGGTTGCACTGAAGGAGGAAGAGTTACCCTAGAAAGGTTTAAGACAATGAAGGTAGGAGCTAATGATTTCCTTCTGTCTGCTGAGATTCGTCTATGAATTGTGTCAAAAGTATAGTGGTGCCTTTTTCTTTAATGATGAGAAGAGGGGTTGACTGGACGTTGACATGATCAAGATGGTCAAGATCTGGACCGTTCCTCACACACATTGGAACGACAGATCCACTCAGTATGCTCAAAAAGAGGAAGAAGAGGTAATGAAGTACCGAAACTAGAAAATAACCTCCAACGTCGCGAAACCGACCGATGGTGCTTACGCCAATCACTGGTTTTGTTTTTGGAAACCAGGCGGAGGCCTACACTGCATACATAACTTGCAAAAGTTGCATTCAGTAATAGTCCGTGATGCGGGTAGCTTACCCAACGAGGACTTGTTGGTTGAGTCTTTCGCTGGAAGAAGCATCTACTCCCTAATAGACTTATACTCTGGCTATGACCGCCATGTATACACCCATAGACACTACTAGCCGACCAATGACCGCCATGCATACACCCGGAGGCCTCATACAAGTGTGTGTGGTGCCTCAAGGGTTGACGAATGGAGTCGCGGTTGTCCAACGAGACATGCTAAAGGTCATGGAGGATATACGTCCAGAGGTTACATTTCCATATATTGATGACAATCCGGTTAAAGGACCAAAGGAAAAAGATGAGACTTTAGTGGATCGTCGAGTTAGGCGGTTTGTATGGGAGCATACGCAGGGAGTGGCGAAAGTAGTGGAAAGGTTGGCCAAGTACAACCTGACTGTCAGTGGGTCGAAGTCACTACTATTCCAAAGGGAGGTATTAATCCTGGGCTTTAGGTGCTTCTTAGGAGGAAGGAGCCCTGATCCGAAAAAGGTGGACAAAGTCCTGAATTGGTCTATGCCTCTAGAGACGGTCAGGGAAGTAAGGAGCTTCCTATGGGTCTGTGGCTTCAGGCGGATCTTCATTCCGGGGTTCGCCTGGATAGCGGAACCCCTTAGAGAGATGGTGCAACAGGGAGCTAACCTAGAGTGGTCCGATCAAAGAGAGACGGTGACACGAGCACTTCATGATAAGTTAAGAGATGGTGGGGTCGTGTTGGTAGTGCCCTATTTCGATGATGAAAGGACGAGACCCTTCATCATCGAGGCCGATGGCGGCCCAAAAGCTTTAGGGGGAGTGCTTGTGCAGCGAGATGAGAATGGTAAAGAGGGACCACTTAGGTCTGAAAGTCGCACCCTTAATTCGGTTGAGAGAGACTATATTCAGTTCAGGAAGGAGCTCCTGACGATTCTGCACTTTCTTAGGGTATTTAGACACTATGTTATGGAACGAAGATTCATATTAAGAACGGATTGCACGACAGTAATTGGAGCTGTAAAGAGGCACCAGCAGGTGAATGCTACGGTCAGTAGGTGGATAGCTTATATATGAACATATGATTTCGTATTAGAAAAGGTGGGTGCTGATAAGAATCAGGCCGATGGGTTGAGCCGCGTGGAATGGGGGTCAATAGATGAGGAATCTTTTGTCATTTTGCTGATTGGGTTGTTTGGGTGTGATGCGCTTCATCTCTTGATAGTTCGGTGATGTTTCCCCTAGTGTAGATGACGCAACACTTGTCATTTTGCGGATTGGGATGCTTGGGTGT